GACCATTTACAGGCTGGGATTGTAAAGTTATATAGGCAAATAAAATGTCCCCATAGATATATAGAGCTGAGGGAGGACGTCCTCTGTATTGGGGGTCATTGTCTTGGACCCCCAAGTGTCAGTGTGTCATTGTCCTGGACCCCCAAGTGTAATTGTCCTTATTCTGGGGGGAGGGGACCTGTGTGTCATTGTTCTGGGCCCCCAAGTGTCATTGTTCTGGGCCCCCAAGTGTCAGTGTGTCATTGTTCTGGGCCCCCAAGTGTCAGTGTGTCATTGTTCTGGGCCCCCCAGTGTCAGTGTGTCATTGTTCTGGACCCCCAAGTGTCAGTGTGAGAGTGTCATTGTTCTGGGACCCCCAAGTGTCAGTGTGTCATTGTACTGGGGGGGGGGACCTGAGTGTCAGTGTGTCATTGTTCTGGACCCTCGAGTGTCATTGTTCTGGGGAGGACCTGAGTATCATTCTTTCGTTGTTTTGGGGGGTGAGTGTCGGCATGTTTGGGGTACAGTCTGATATTCGGTCATTCCTGAAAAGCAGAGATCTCAGGCTGCACACTTCACCTGCTGCCCTGTGAAGGATCTCTCAGCAGGTTAATGTTCCACTGAGGTTAATGAGCGGGGAGCCGCCCCCGGGCCGTGACTCACCGGGCCTTATTGTGCTGTATTATGTTGTGTCATGCTCTGCTGATCGAGTCTTTGTGGCCTGAGCGGCTGACGTCACCTTGCAGCATTGGGTTACAGGGACCAGTCACTGCAAGGCCGGGTGACACACAAGGGGGTCTGTCTGAGACATTGCCATAATTGCACACCGCCTCCCCTACAAAACCTGCTCTTCAATTATGGCTCATCGGTGTGGAACACAAATACTCCTCACCACAGGACCTCTAGTGTAAAGCCCGGAGACCCCTGACTCACCGGCTGACCTTTCCCGACCTCTAGTAAAAGCAAACTAGGCCACAACTTCCATATCCTCCCATCGTATCACTCAACAGGGCACAGGACTATGTCAGAGCTACATAGTGTGTGACTGAGGGGGGGTACATTAGATTGTAAGCTCCTCTGGTGGAAAAAGTGATGTGACTGGCCTAATACTTTCTGTACACCACTATGGAATATGTCAGTGCTATATAAATGCATACACCTGGAATGACACATTTTCTCCTTTCTGCAGGCAGCGGAGAAGCAGTAATGGGGTCGCGGTGTGAGGTGGTTATGGTTCGCCGGTTGCAGGCTATATCGTAGTCCCTCGGAGGATGCAGCTGCCGATCATATTATAGGTAGGTACAGGGACATGGGGGAGAATAAAAGGTATCCGTTCCCTTTTTCTGTATGATTCTCTCATAGATCTCGGCGAAGATTGATCCTCATTGATTCATTGTATGTACACTATATGGCCAAAAGGTACGCGGACACCCCTCCAAATGATGGGGTTCAGAGTCTTCAGTGAAGGGTTCCGTCCAGGCTACAACACACAAAGACATCCGATCTTCCAACCTTGTGGTATCAGTTTGGTGAAAGCCCTTTTCTGTTCCACCATAACTGTCCCCTGTGTACATAGCCTCCATATGGGGCCTTTATACTAATGGCCATGGTGGCCTCCATACTAATGGCCATCAGGGGGTAGGAGGGTCAATGTTAATAACCATAGTGGCCTCCATATTAATGACAATGGGGGGAAGGAGGGCCCATGTTATTAACCATGGAGGGCTCCCTATTATTGGCCATAGTGGGAAGGAGGGTCCATGTTATTAACCATGGAGGGCTAGGGGGGGAAGGAGGGTCCATGCTAATAACTATTGGGGGCTCCCTATTAATGGCCAAGGAGAGCTTCATATTAATTGCCAAGGATGGGGTTCCATATTGATGGCCATGGAGAGATTGGTATATTATATTTTTAGGATGTCCAACAGGGTCACATAGGTATAACTTTTGACCATATAGTGTAAAATATACACACCTCACAATTGTGCTCTTTTAACCTCGTGGGAACAGTTTTGTGAAGGTCCTTTTGTGTTCCACCATGGCGGTCCCCTGTGTGCACAGCCTCCATATGGGGCCTTGATATTAATGGCCATGGATGGGACTGCATATTAATGGCCATGGATGGGGCTTCATATCAATGGCCAGGGATGGGGCTTCCTAATAATGGCCATGGATGGGGCTTCCTAATAATGGCCATGGATGGGGCTTCCTAATAATGGCCATGGCTGGGGCTTCCTAATAATGGCCATGGGTGGGGCTTCCTAATAATGGCCATGGATGGGGCTTCCTAATAATGGCCATGGAGGGGGCTTCCTAATAATGGCCATGGCGGGGGCTGCATAATAATGGCCATGGCGGGGGCTGCATAATAATGGCCATGGAGGTGGCTTCATATTAATACCCATGGATAGTTCTTCCTAATAATGGCCATGGAGGGGGCTTCCTAATAATGGCCATGGAGGGGGCTGCATATTAATGGCCATGGAGGGGGCTTAATATTAATGCCCATGGATAGTTCTTCCTTATAATGGCCATGGATGGGGCTTCCTAATAATGGCCATGGAGGGGGCTTCCTAATAATGGCCATGGAGGGGGCTGCATATTAATGGCCATGGATGGGGCTCCATATTAATGGCCATGGCGGGGGCTGCATAATAATGGCCATGGATGGGGCTTAATATTAATGGCTATGGATAGGGCTGCATATTAATGGCCATGGAGGGGGCTTAATATTAATGGCCATGGATGGGGCTTCCTAATAATGGCCATGGAGGGGGCTTCCTAATAATGGCCATGGAGGGGGCTGCATATTAATGGCCATGGATGGGGCTCCATATTAATGGCCATGGCGGGGGCTGCATAATAATGGCCATGGATGGGGCTTAATATTAATGGCTATGGATAGGGCTGCATATTAATGGCCATGGAGGGGGCTTAATATTAATGGCCATGGAGGGGGCTTCCTAATAATGGCCATGGAGGGGGCTTCCTAATAATGGCCATGGAGGGGGCTGCATGTTAATGGCCATGGAGGGGGCTGCATGTTAATGGCCATGGAGGGGGCTGCATGTTAATGGCCATGGAGGGGGCTGCATGTTAATGGCCATGGAGGGGGCTGCATGTTAATGGCCATGGAGGGGGCTGCATGTTAATGGCCATGGAGGGGGCTCCATATTAATGGCCATGGTGGGCTCCATCATCTGTATCATAAATTAATTTTGTTTTCCGTTTCATTTCTTGTGCCCTCAGAGTCTGCGGTTTGTAGCGAAGGCGACGATAATGAATAACACAGAGGTATTCGCTCCAGTGGGCGACGCGGGGCCCTTCGCCATGCGGGGCCACAAGCAGCGCTGTATGTCTGCCATGGAGCCAGTCACCTCCACTGACGGGGATTTTAAGGATGAAGAACAGGACCGCTTCCTGGGCGTTCCGCTCCGCCGGTACTGCCCCACGCGGAGCTCCGCCCACATCCGCGACTCCTTCCGTAGACACAGCTGGGAGCCGGGGAAGAGGCTGCAAGAGGAGGAGTCTAACTATGATGAGCTCAGGTACGAAGGGCACGCGTCTGCCCAAAGCATTCACGTATTGTAGATGAGTGTTACAACAAGTCATCACTGACCTCCGTAGCTGCAGCCGATGTGGAGAAATTAATCATCAATGTTCACAAGAGAAGGTCATCCATGTCTGGTCCCAGCACTCTGCTCTCCCCCTCTCCCTGCACACATTGTGACCATTTAAAAAAAAAATAACAGGAAGTAGTGATCGCACGGACAGGAAGCAGCGTGCTCTCTGCAGAGTTCTGGATCTGAGAAATAAATGTAATAGCAAATTAAAGGGACCTCCCGCTTTCCTTCTTAGAATTTTTTCATGCTGATCATGTCATACGTATTTTAGGTTCAAGTTGCTGTCTGCGTACCCTCTGGGGAGATTTCACCCTGTCCGTGTGTCCTGGCGGTGGGTGGTGGGAAACACAAAGGTTTACAGTTGTCACCAGAAGAGGAAGTGGGGGGGAGGGGGAATCTTCCAATGGGGACACCTATTCCGGTGTCAGCAGTAGAATTCCCCTTTAATACGGGGAGTTTTCCTCTCACTTCCTGTTGTGTCTACGGGACCGGGGACAAAAGCCCCAGGTGCTTCCTGTCCATGCCTATGTGCCTGGTGTAGTATCAGCTGAGGACCTCCAGGTGGCGGCATTTGTTAAACTTTGTTATATCTGTAAAGTCATCAGAGAGTCACGGCTGTCATTGGTCTCCCTCCATTTTGCGCCCCCACAGGAAGTGGGTGTGATTTTTTTATTTTTTCCCCAATTTGGACGCGGACCGCAGACTGTTCCCAGTTCCTCTAACTTTTCTTGGTGTAAAAAACAAAACCCAAAAAACCTTGTTATAAAGTTAATAAAATCCTCTTTCTTCATACCTAGCTTTAGTTTAATGTGGATTAATTTCCTTTAATCACCCTTACTGTAAAGAATCCTTTCCCGGGAAAGGCAATAAAATCCTCTTTGTTAACGCAGCTAATGTCCCCTTTGCAGTAAATGACTCTAATCATGTTTATACATCATTAACCACTGCTACTGTAGAGAATCCTTTCCCACAAAGATAGTCCTTAACTAGGGATGCACCGATACCACTTTTTTATGACCGAGTACGAGCACCGATACTTTTGATCAAGTACTCGCCGATACCAATTACCGATACTTTTTCTTAAAGGGACAGGTCACATTTTTTCTAAAGCAATAGAAACGAATGATTTAAGGTCAGTTTCTTAATATTATATATTCATGAAATGACGAGGGAGCATGACGCCGCCTTTGCGGCCAATCAGAATGCCGTCGCTGCGTCATTACACGGCGCCCGGCTTCCGGATTTGCTGGCTTCCTGACCAATCGGGAAGCCAGGCAGGGCGTCATTACACGCTACCCGGCTTCCTGATACAGGAAGTACTTGTGCTAGGTATCGAAGCATTTGGGCGAGTACGAGTACTCACCCAAATACTCGGTATCGGCACCGATACCGATACTAGTATCGGTATCGGTGCATCCCTATCCTTAACCACTCTTACTGTGGAGAATCCTTTTCTACCAAGATAGTCCTTAATCACTGGTACTGTAGAGAATCCTTTCCCATAAAGATAGTCCTTAACCACTGAAACTGTAGAGAATCCTTTCCCACAAAGGTAGTATTTAACCACTGGCACTGTAGATAATACTTTCCCACAAAGATAGTCCTTAACCACTCTTACTGTAGAGAATCCTTTTCTACCAACATAGTCCTTAACCACTGGTACTGTAGAGAATCCTTTCCCATAAAGATAGCCCTTAACCACTGAAACTGTAGAGAATCCTTTCCTACCAAGATAGTATTTAACCACTGATACTGTAGAGAATACTTTCCCACAAAGATAGTAAAACCCTCTTCCATCACACAGCTAAATGTCTCTTTAGCATTAGATTACTCTTATCGCATTAAGAAACCTTAACCACTCTTACTGTAAGGAATCCTTTCCTACCTAGAAAGATAATAAACTCCTGTTTCTTCACACCGCTAATGTCGCTTTTGCATCAGATGATTCTGATCGTGTTTATCGTCCTTAACCACTCTTACTGTAGAGAATACTTTCCAAGAAATACAGTAAAAAATATTGTTCACACAGCTAATGTCCCTTTTTGCATCAGAATCATCCAAAGTATAAGGGGGACATTAGCTGTGCGAAGAAACAGGATTTTACTGCCTTTCTGGGAAAGGATTCTCTAAAGTAACAGTGGTTAAGGACTAATCTAACCACTGTCACTGTAAAGAATGCTTTCCCAGATAGACAGTAGAATCCTGTTTCTTTACACAGCTAATGTCCCTTTTGCATCAGAATCATCCAAAGTATAAGGGGGGCATTACATGTGCAAAAGAAACAGGATTCTACTGCCTTTCTGGGAAAGGATTCTCTACAGTAAGAGTGGTTATGTACTGATTTTGTAACCACCAATACTGTAAAGAATCTTTTCCCAGGTAGACAGGAGGCTCCTCCTCCATCACACAACTGATGTCCCTTTTGCATCAAAACCATCCAATGTAAAAAGAGGGACATTAGCTGTGCGAAGAAACAGGATTTCACCGTCTTTCTGGGAAAGGATTCTCTACGGTAACAGTGGTTAACCTCTTGCCGTCCGCCCGTAGTAGAAAAACGGACGGACGGCACTGCTGCATCGGCGGGTTGCCGTCGCTAGACGGCATTTTTTTTCTGCTCGCGCGCGCCCCCTAGCGGGCACGTAACTGCGAACCCCCGGTACCGGGTTTTTCACATATGGGCGATCAGCGGGTCCATAGCCCGCCGATCGCCTATATGTGCTCGTTTGCGTCCGCACCCCACCCGCACACCGGCCGTTTTTTTTTTGTCCCCCCCTGACCCCTCACCTTGAATCTTGGGATCCGCTGTCCCATCTGCGGCCCGGGATCGGCTCGGAGGGCGTCAGGAGGAGGAGGACGGGAGATCAGCTCCTTGCTGATCTCCATGTAACCACTGATACTGTAAAGAATCCTTTCCCAGGGAGACAGTAGACTCCTCCTCCATCACACAAGTGATGTCACTTTCGCATTAGAGGATTGTGATGATGTTTTATGGTTTTTGTGTGTGTGTCGCACCCCCGCATCAACACCAGGGGCCCCTGCAGACGCGCTGTTCTCACACAGCCGCTGTGCCTTCCGTCCTGTGAGACATGGACGAGAGCTGCTTCCTCAGCCGGTGGAAGGGGGCCGCGGCGGCGGCTCACACACAGTCCGCGGAGTGGTAGGTGAACTTAGCAGGCCCCCCTCCCCCCGCTCAGGTCAGAGAAGCGCGATGGGTTAAATCGCCGGCCTGATAAGCGTCCCCCTGTTCGTAGGTTGGGGAGGAAGCTGGTGGTTTGAGATCTTCGCAGAGAGGAAAGGAAAGCGTTACAAGCGCCTCAGAAGCTTCCCGTGTTACAGCGCCGCGGTGCCTTTGCGCTCGCCATGGAGCCGCCAGACGGCGTCGCCCCCGGCGCAGCGCGATAACTGCTTCTGTGTCTATTGCAGCCTCAGCCTGAAGGGCCTGGACCCGGAGGAGATCGAGGAGGCCATGGGCTACCGGAGGGACCCGCGCCGCACTCCCATCACCTGCAGCAACGACGAGCTGGAGAACCTGCTGCTGATGCGGGGGGAGGACGTGGAGGTGACGCAGGAGGTACGCACGCCGCCGCTGCCGGGCGCTAATTGTACAAAAAAAATGGCGGCTTTTCCAGCTGCTGGAGTTTTGGTTTTAGCTCCTGCGTGTGTCATTGGGGGGCCGGGTCTGACCCGGGACTCCCATGGTGCAATGGCAGCTGGCCCTGCTCTGCTCCTGCATGAGCTCTGGGGCGCAGATGGTTAAATGGAGGGAACAGTCAGGTTGTGGCCCTCCGCTTTCAGGGGCCCGGTCGCAGCCCTACCCAGGGTCACCCCGGGGTGTTAGGAGCCCACAACAGATGGATAAGGGGAGGCAACAGTCAGGTTGTGGCCCTCTGATTTCAGGGGCCCGGTCGCAGCCCTACCCTGGGTCACCCCATGGTGTGGGTAGCCCACAACAGATTGAAAAGGGGAGGCAACAGTTAGGTTGTGGCCCTCAGCTTTCAGGGGCCCTATCTCAGCTGAACCCACGGTTCAACTCGCATGGTGTAATGGAAGCTGTCCCTGCTCTACTCCTGCATGAGCTGTGGCGCAGATGATTAAGCCGAGGCAACAGTTAAGTTGTGGCCCTCTTGTTTCAGGAGCCCGTACCCAGGTTCACTTTCTGGTTTTATGAGCCCACAATGGAGGGAACAGTTAGGTTGGGGCCCTCAGGGTCCTATCAGAGCCGTTTCAAGGGACAATCTCTGGTGCTATGAGCCCGCAATGGCTAAGGAGAGGGAACAGTTAGGTCTGGGCCCTCTGCCCTCAGCGGCCCTATCCCTGCCATACCCGGGGTCCCTTCCTAGTGTTATAATCCCACAACGGATGGACAGGGGAGCGAACAGTTAGGTTGTGGCCCTCAGGGGTCCTATCGCAGCCATATCCAGGGTCACTTTCTGGTGTTATGAGCCCACAGCGGATGGCTATGGGGAGGAAACAGTTAGGTTGGGCCCCTCTAACCTCAGGGGCCCAGAGACAGCTGCCCCCCCGGGTCATTCCGTGCCCTCAGCTGTGCCACTGCCCATGATAACCTCTCTCCTCCCATTTCTGTTCAGGAACACGCCAAGAGGCTGCGGGCCTACCTGTCCTCCCAGAACTACGTGTTCAACGCGCTCTCCAAGTCCGTCTCCATGACCGGGATCGACCACTGCTACCCTGACGGTGAGTGCAGGCGCCGCCTGTGTGTGCTCGGTCTCCAGTAGGGAACCGTCCACCAATGGGGAGCTGTCATTTAAATAGTCATCAGGCCTTTGAGACAACTCCGGAG